CCCCCCCCCCCCCCCTCCTTTTTGTTGTGTTTTGTTGCTTTGCTCGTCTTCTTTTGCTGCTGGGTATTTACTAGACTTAACTTCGGTATATCAAAAAGGATCGCGAAATTAATGGTTAGTCCTCTACACGTTGTTATAATCACCCACCTGATGCAGTTTAGGTAGAATCGGTGGATCTTGTTTCAAAAGAGCATTGCGCAGGAACACCATGTAATAGACTGTCCACTGGAAAGCTGTAGCCTTGTCCATGTTGGGATCCATGCGTGGTATTACTGCCTTGAAAAATTCTGCTGCTTTGGTTATGCGTATCCTATAGGCAGAAAAAAATGTAAACATACGTTGAAGTCTGCGTCACGGGCGCTCACTCTGTATGTCAGAAAAACGAGGAATGGAAGAAGAAATTGCTACGTCAAGCCCGTTCCCTGGGCTTTTCCTTTAGAAAATAGAAGAATCTTATTTGCACCCTTCCCGTTTCTCTAAGGGAAAAGCTCTTGGAGGAGGTTTTTGCTGCGCTGGACTACGGACATGGAAGACTCAGACCTCGTCAACGATTTTTTTGACAGGTCTAACGCCTACGCCTTGAAAACGACACGAGTTTAAAACGGTGTTCGTTAGTTGCCCCTGAAAAAAACACAGATGGCAACTGGCTACGAGTATGAGCTAACATTTTTCAAGTTTTCAATCGATCAGCATGAAACATGTTTTAGTGACCAACTTGGAAATATAAAAACAATTCATTACTAAACTGCAAATGGTGAGGTTTTAAAATAAACGCTTCAGGCTCAAAGACAAGGCTGACCTTCTATGCCTCTCCTTGGAATTGTGCCTATCCACTGGATTGGCATTAGGATCGTCAGCTAGAGGTTCTCTGTAGCTGTCAAGTTCCAGGAAATATGGTTTTTTTCCTGTCAAGCTCACAGATATCGGACTCTTGGTATCGCTTGGTGAATCTAAACCTGTTTCTGATGTTGCCGTTTTTGCACTCTTTAGACTTGCCGCAGCAGGCGATCGCCTAGTTCTTTTCTTTGTCCTGAGGCCTCTAAAGAGAAACATTACTGGTTAACAATTTACAGCAAATTAGACTAGAGATCTTTAGATTATAAGACGAGAACGACTACGAGAACGAGATTTTCTCCATACTAAAGGCTGGTTTTCACTAGCGACGGAGTCGGAGTCGTAAGAGCGCTTATGACCTGGTGAAAATCAAAAATCGGAGTCGTAAGCGGAGTCATAAGCGCGACGGAATCGGAGTCAGAAGAATCAGAACGTTTCCATTTTCTTCCGACTCCGCTTACGATTCCGTCGCTTACGTTCCGCTTATGTAGATCACTTTTGGTCTAACAGCCTCAGCCTTCGTCTTCGCCTTCCTATTCGTTAGTCTTACGTGCAAGGGTGCGAAACACTAACCAAACCAAGAAGACGAAGACGAAGGCTGAGGCTGTTAGACCACAAGGCTAGATCATAAGCGGAACGTAAGCGACGGAGTCGTAAGCGGAATCGGAACGCTGTTTTCACTAGATCATATAAGCTCTACGTTTCTGATTACGACTCCGACTCCGTCGCTAGTGAAAACAAGCCTTTAGTAGTACGCGTTCGCGAACCATCGTCATTTTGACGCTAAAACGTGGGAGCCATCGTCATTCTTCTACCATGGGTTTTTGGTGAAAATGTCGTAGTGACGGAAAAAAGTAATCAAATGTTAGAAGTTTCATCATTTCAAGATCGGCAGAGGGCTTATAATTAAACACCTAGAATATAATGGTGTTTGAAATGACCACTAAATGTTACATAAAGAATCAAAACAGCTGATAGAGAGCGTCCTTCCTTCAACAACTTTCTAACAATCCAAAATTTCGTGAAGAGAAATGTGTGCCTCTTAGTTAAAAAGAAGAGACATCCTAGTAATCTAAATCCCGGAGGGATACTCTACCAATATTTGGGTATAAGTGAGCCGCTGAGGGTTTGAAACCCTGACCCTGTTTTGGACAAAAAAATCCTACAACACATACCCTGTTTAGCACAACACCCTCAATTTTATTACCCTGTTTAGGACAAAGGACAAAATGCACTCCGTCTTGTTTTTAAGCCATTTATTTTGAGGGGAAATTCACGTTATAGGCTTTTGTATACTTGGAACACAAACAAAATTCATCTTGCAAATCAATCCAATCGGGCAGGCAATACCCTGCTGACAGACTCACACGAAATTATATAACCTGTTTGGGACAGAGAGGTTAAAAAAACCATACCCTGTCCAACGGCACATCCCCGTATAGGCCATACAAGGGGGTACCCGCCCGGTGTCTAAATCTAACCTTGTTTCATCTGAGTCAGGAGAATTAAGTGCGGTAAACTTGGTAAATGTGCAAGCAGCTTGATTCTTTGCGGAGCTGTCATCTTCTTGGCCTTCCACTACCTGAATAGCATTCAGTAGAGTCTCTATTCCTGGAAGCACGGACTCCGAGTTTTCTTGAACATTCTCACACAAAGGAGGAGAAACTTTCGCAGAAACTGATGATCCTTGATTCAAAATTTCTGTCACCTGCTCACCCACGGTTCCCACTTGAATTTGCTGTGATGCGTAGCTTGATATCTGGTCGTTTAAATGTGAGCCTCCTCCAGCGCTCACCGCGTTCACACCTTGTATTTTAGCAGGACTCAGCGTGGGTGGAATCTTAGTGTGAACGGGATTCGTTGTACACTGAGAGGATATTAGTCCTGGTTCAGGTAATTGAGGAAATGGCACTGAAGGAATATGGGCTGAGGTGGGCTGTGGGATAGTGCTCCAAGTGGTTTGAACTGGCAAGGGCAACAATGGTACTGAACGGACATTGCCTTGTGAGAGGTGCATAAAAGACAACAGTGCTTAATTTACATGTGAAAAAGTAAATAATTCAGGGTTCACAAATACGCCAGATTTGGCGTAGTTTATGTCAACATGTTTAAGATGACTTCACTGAGGTTACAGAAGGAGTCACTTTTGCTCCAAAATTTTTGGTTGCAAAATAGATGTTTTTTTCTTACCTTTTTACAAATACAATCTACATTAACTGCAAACGTTTGTAAACCTGATTTAAACCACCCAAATTGAATCTGACCCTTTCCAGGTCGGCGGACCGTCATGATAGTGTATACGTGCCAGAACCACATGCTGAAATAGCATACTCGTCGGAAAGAGAGTGAATGGATACATGTACAGAACTTAATAAGGTTAACGAAAGCTGTCAACGTTTTTAACTCTTGCCAAAGGAATATCGCATTGCTTTCATTGTGTTACTTGACTCCAAATATTCCAAAAATATGACTCCAAAATTTTTGAAGAGCAGAACAAGAAGTCACACTGACTTCACCCATCAATAAAATTGGCAAACCCTGTCATAATAATTCTTTCAGTTTTTCCTTGATCTTTTACGTTTTTTCACGTTTTTAACATAAGTTTATTTGAAAAATGTTACAACCATAAGTATTATGATTTTCTCAAGGAAATTATCGTAGTAGTAAAGACAGTGTGGTACCGGGATAAAGTGGCAAACTTGCTTGAAGGCAGTTACCCAGTGACAGTGTTTGAAAAAAGTATGGGACATAGGTCCCGGTGCCATGGTCTATATCTGAATTGTGCTGCCATTGGTCTGGCTGAATGGGGTGAGATCAAACAGCTGCTACATTCACATACGTGTGACTTTACATGCTGATGTTTGATCTCACCTCTCTTGTCCCTCTGCAATTCAGCCAATGGCATGGCTGCAAGAGAGGAAAACCTGACACCATTTCTTTTCCAATTTTTCTGTGAGCAAAAAACCATCCCTCTCCTCCCTGGAGACAACATATCACAAATCTTCAAGAGCTCCAGAAAAGATAGACAGCCAGGAATGACTGTTGCACTTACACTGAATTTGATTAATAAATAAAGAAGTTTAAATGCTTACCATAGGATCTTCCAAGGACATTGTTAAGAGCATATATCAAGTCTGCTTCAAGCTTTTCAGAGTTTGTGGTCATATGGACAGCTTCCTGGACTTCATTTGTGCCCAACATGTGAAGGGTGCTTTCTGTTCCCAAGG